AAACACTGCACTCCTTCAACACCCCGTCGATAACGCACCGCGACACCTCCCATGGCTCATCGGTCAGAATAGGGAGTCGACTTTCGAGCTCGGCCCTTGCACTGACGAGTTCATTCCATGAGTTGTGGTATAATGGAGCTAGCTCGTTCGGTAATCGCCAAGTGCCATGGTTGGAACGACGGTCGGGCATACTAAAAGGGAAGAGGACTGATTGCGATGGCTCAGTCCCCCTGCTCGTGCGATTGGCTTGCACGACTCGACGTATACTGTAGCGTTGCACTCTCTTCGTACCAGACACACTGACTGCGCGCTCCGTGCACACATGCCATGCCATATTTCAGGGGAATGGAATGGCGAGGAAGTGCTGCGGTGGTGTTGAAATGATCCATCGACCAGTCTGTCGTTCCGCCTCGTTTGCGCGAGCCACCCATTTGGAGCGTTGAAAACGCCATGAGTATATCGAGGTAGTCCATACAACCGTGCTGGATGCTGAGTGTGGCTAGTCCAAAAGTCCTGGCCTAGATACGTGTTCACGTGGGGTCGGGGCGACATACCATACACCCCATGACTAGACTTATGTGTTGGAAATCAAACTATCTGACACATCACCGGCGCAGCACGACCGGCGGGGGCATTGGCGCACTTTCAGCAGACGTCACCCAGGATGGTGCCGTCACGGACGTAGTTTCGTCGCTACCAGTTCGCGGTGCTTACTTCAACCAACATAAGGCTCTAAGTGGTAGTTCAGCTTTTTTTATAATTTTTTAAATAAAAAATGTTTTTTTGGCTCTGCGAGGGAGCGTTGGGGATATTTTCCGGACCGCGGGTGCCATTTTCCGGATAACCACCGCTACAACCTGCTGTACCTCCCGTTGCCCGATGTCGACCTCCCGCCTCGCTGTCCTCGGCCTCGTGTGGGCCACACTCGTGTCCACAATCACGTAACTTGAATCTTCCCAAGCGAAAAGTCGTTCTCACGTGCCGTGATTATCTCGTGTAGCGGAGCCACGATTGAAGGCCGCATCTCGTACCCTGACAGCGTGCCGCCTCCATCGGTCGACGGTGGATTGCCTTCGCTCCAAGTCGTGCTGGATGGTGGTGTGCGATCCACGCTTTCAAGCCAGGATGGTCGGTTCGCGTTCTACGATGTGCCCACCGGACGCTACACCGTGGACATTCACTCCCCTGTATACATCTTCAGCCAAGTACGTGGTTTTAAGTCGCGCCTCGGCCTTACGCGTGCGCTGCGGGTCGTTACAGTTTAAGGTCGACATCAGCGCTGCTGGTGATATTCGCGTGCTCGAATTCAAGTACCCAGGGACCCCCAAGCTCGCGGTGTCGCACCCATTGGTTGTCGGCGCTCACGCGAAAATTCAATACTTCCAAGTCGGAGCATTGTCCATGTCCCCTTCGCGTGTGAACCGATTGTCATTCTTGTAGCCCCGCGAAAAGTTTAGCGTGATGGATCTCGTCAAAAACCCGTCGTTTCTAGCTCTCATCGTGCCCCTCGTGATGGTATGGCTTCTGCCCAAATTGACCGAGTCGATGCTGGGTAAGGTTTTCCCCGATATCAAGACACCGTCGACTTATATGCGTGTGTGTCTGCAGATCCGGAAGAGTTTAAGCAAGCGCAAGAAGAGATGGGGAATGCAGCTGACCCGAGTACGCTCATCAAGGGCTTCTTCGGCGGCGGCGGCGACGCCAACAACGATGAAGATAGCGACTAAACTCACCTTGTGTTCTCTACACAAACGTTATTTGTAGTCGGCATGCTAAATAGGTGTTGCTGAGTGCCTATCAAACTCCAGAGTTGGGACAGGGTGTAACGAATAAAATGCTGTTATTTGTCTCACACGGAATATCCGGATACGTTCACTTCCCACTGGTTGGTGCATTGCGGATCGCCCAACACACCATCATGACAACTCGCGCCCGCCTCGAGCGCTTCTACAGCAAGTACAACCCAGACAAGAAAGGGGAGATCGATGGAGTGCTGGACAAGTACAAGGGTCGCGAGTCGGTTTTGTTCGAAGCGTTGGTGCGCAAGTATGGTCCCGAACCGGACGCGAACGAGGAGATCACGTTTGTAGACGCCATGACACTGCGTCTGCTCGCGTTCTACGAAAAGTACAACCCCGACAAGGTGGCCGAGGTCCCGAATGTGTTGGCCAAGTATGCTGGGAAGGAGAAGCAGTTGTTTGAAGCGTTGGTGAAGAAGTACGGCCCCGAGCCAGGTGACGAGCTCGACGACGCGGATGACGATGACGACGACGAGTCGAACGACGGCTCGGACGAAGAGGAGGAAGTCCAAGGCAAGGGAGCGTTGCTATCGCGAGAAATCTTGTATTGCCCCATCGACAATCTGCCGCCTGAGTATTGCGAATACGGCCCGAGTTTCAACGAGTGCAAGCCCTGGCTTGTCGAGCACGTCCCGACGCTGTTCATTCAAAAGTACAACCGCACGATCGCGGAACTCGTCGAAGTAGAGGCACAGATTGCCGCGGGTGTCGAAGGCATCACGCTCGAGGCCGAGGGTTCCAAGAGTGCGTGTTTCATTCCTCACTTGTCGCAGGCATCGTGACGTCGAACGGTCGTGACTGATGTAGGTGTCAAGAAGAAGAAGGGCAAGGCCGACGCGGACGGCAACGCCAAGGCGGGTGGGAACGTGTACGTCGAGCGCTTCCAGCGACAGAAGAAAAAGTTTGTGACGGTCGTTGCCGGTCTCGACGAGTACAAAGGTCTCGACCTCAAGGACGTGGCGAAAAAGATGGGCAAAAAGTTTGCATGCAGTGCGTCAGTCAATAAGTTGGACGGTGGCAAGGCACAAATCCAACTGCAGGGCGACGTCCAGCACGAGCTGCCCCACTGGCTCGTCGAAGAGTTCGACATCCCAGAAGCCAACTTGTACCTGTTGGAAAAGGGCAAGAGCGAGCGAGCATTCTAACTACGTCGTGGGACATTCTTGAATGCACAGCATGATCGGTTGACGCGCTAAAGACGGGATGCGCATCCACGTGGAGAGCGGGGTGTCCTGTATGTCGTGGCTCTATTGGGCCTGCCAACTGAACCTGACATCATGGCCGGCCAGCGCGATCCTGGTCAGGTGACTAGCACGAGCACCGTTCTGCTCGTCGTCTCGGAGCTGGTGTCGAATGCCACACGACTGGAGGACATTGCATGTTTCGCCATGGAGCGACTCATATCAACGCACCTCGATAAAGGGTGGGTTGATTCTTTCGATAGCGACCACAAAGGCAAGTACCCACAGCGCTCCTCCCCAATGGCGTTCCATGCTCTGCGTTGATGGAGGATATGGGGCGTGGGATGGAGCCGCTGCCTTCGTGCGCTACCTGGCGGTGGTATGTGGTTGTGGCGATCTCAAGGACTTCGGTGGAAACGTCACTACGGTGTCCGACCACAGGAAACAGGGCGATTTCGCTGCGGGATGTTGATCGGATGAACTTGGCGCATGTCCTGGCGAGCATGTTGTTCTGGCAGAGCGCGAAAAAGTTGACGACCAGTTCAACCGCTTGGCCGTCGCTCATGGTCTCCACAACACAGCAAGGTGCTCGCCGCAGCTGTTCAACTTGTGCAGCCACTGCGCCAGCGGCCTGCAGAGGACATGCTTGCCGTTTATGGCTGCGCTCGAATGTGGCCTGTTGCGCATGTCGTCGCAGGTGCGCACAGATGCGTGGCTCTTTTCCCCGGTTGCTCTTGAGACCGTCATCTCACGTGGAGTGGAATGGGCCTCTCAAATCACCGCAGCGCCATTCATCGCATTCCGTGGCATTCCAGCACAAAGTGCTGTTTCGCAGTGGCTACATGGAGGACAAAATCCCTCCAACAGACCCCTGTGGCGTTTCCACTGCGCTTCCCTGCGACTCTTTCGAAGTGTTTTGCGCGACGGTACGACAAGCGTATATGAATCCATGTGCTGCTCCTGTTCCAGGCATGAGGAACACATCCAAACCGACCCATCACGTGGAGCGCATGCGACGGTCGACTCGATTCGTGTGCGCTGCAAACACGTCGTGCTGCTGAGGGTGGTGTCGAGTTCAAGACGAATCGAGACGATTTTAAGTTAAACATGACGGATGTCACACACGGAGGAGATCGTTGGCGGACGTGCACGTGTCGTCGGTGTTGGTATCGGACAAGTTGCCGTCCGAGATGGTTTTTTTCATCGCGAGATTGCGAGGATCTTGGTTATCGTACACCATGACTTGGACAACGTCCCAGTACGGCAGGCGCCACCCTTTACTCCATGCTTGATGGCGCAGCACAACGGCCACCATGACGCTGAGGAGGATGCGGCTCCCTTGGAACGGTCGAAACGCAGGTACAGCTTGCATGGCCAAATACGACCCCGCCGATGCCAGGGCAATCGAGGCGTACGTGTCGGCGTACGGATGGAGGATGCGCACGGGGCGGTGCAACAAAACGTCGCGCACCATGCCGCCGAACGTCGCAGTCATGACGCCGCAGAGTGCAGACACAACGATGGGCTGACTCGCACGGATACCGTTCATGGCCCCGATGACGGCAAACGCGCCGACGCCGATGGCATCCCCCCACTGCATGAGGTCTCCTTCGCCGCCGTCCAACGCTTTGAGTGTCAGCCCCATCCAGAATGGCTGACCGGATTGTATTCGATGCCACCAATAGACCGTCACGGTCGCGGCAAACGCACTCAGCACGAGGTACTCCCATTCTTCGACCCAGCTGGGCGTATGGTTCAGCACGAGGGCATCGCGCAGCGTTCCCCCGCCGACGGCCGTGATCGTACCAACTAGGATACAGCCATGGAGATCCGCCCCAGACGAAGCTGCAGTCAGTGATCCGCTCATGGCAAAGACGACAGTGCCAAACCAGTCGAGCGACCGTAGGCATCCTGTCGGGGTGGATAGAGACGGCCATCGTGGAAGCCCTTCGTAGATGCCGTCGGATGTAGTAGACTCGAAGGCCACCAACGCCATCGAAAAGTAAATGGCAGCAAGGTGCACGACCCGCGGCAGCAACAGCACCAGGCGCACGAGAAAGTAGAGCATCGTGGGCAGATATGCAATGAAAGTTGGAGTCACCACTCCAGTGGTGGGGCTGGTCGCGTCGAGAGCTAGCTGGTCAAGTTGTGACCATGCCCACCAACCTGACCCCCAGAAAAAAAAATGTCGGAGCCGGTGTAACTCCAGCGCGATGGATGCACGCGTACACTGTAGCCGCCGCCTCGCGCTGCCACCGCATCCGAATCAAGATGTGCGTGCCTATCACTCCCCGACGCCCACGGTAAATGGATGGCTAGCCGTGTTTGTGCCGCAGCGCCATCGCCGCGCCTCCTCGTTACTCGTGGGGGATAGGTCGCGTGGTTTTACAGCCGGGCCGTGGAGGAAGTCGATGTTGGTGTCGGGAGGGGACTTCCCTTCCATCGGTGAACTAGTTCCCTTGACATAGTGACATTCTCCACGTCCTGATCACCCGTGTGCTCCCACACATGCCTCCGTAACACAAAGACATGGGGTCGCCTGGAACAAAGCAGATGCAATGAGAGTGTCCACACCGACCACCACCCACTGGATTGAAATTCAGCCAGCCACATCGCCGCTGCATGCCTTAGGTACCGTTGTCGCCTCGGCTCAGTCGTGTTGTCATGTTTACATACACAGCTCTGCATGGCCATGGCACCTCACAGCTCTGAAAGGCAATTATTATATGATCGCTTCCCATGAAGACCCAGAAAACGTGAGCAATCATGAGTTTTTGCCGAGTCGGAAAAGCCAATAGAATGTGGTATTTGTAATAATTGGTCAGAAAAGCAGGCCTATGCTACGGTAGTACAATTTTATATTTTATGAGTATTCTTGCTCTCACAATAGAGTGATTTCGCAAATGGAATCCACATGATTTTCACTGCAAGAATTTACAAAAAGTCTCATAGGAATTTTTTTGTGGCGTGTTGATTTCGCCACAGGGAAATTTGGTTGTCACTGAGTTGAGAATGAGTGACGAGGTAGCCCTTCTGTTGTCAATAGCGGCTGCTCTTTTCGTGCACCTAGCCCAGACAATCAACTCGTGCCATAAGCACCCCTTCCTGCTCTTAAAGGTAAAATGTACTATCCCTTGACTCGCAAAAGGAGTAAGGTGTCGTCGTAGTGTTGTGCTGACGGTTTGTCTTGAACTGCAGCGGCTTGGACGGCGGCGGCAGATGCAGGCAGCGGCGAAGGCAGAAGCAGAAGGGAGCAGTCGATATGAATCGACTGGTCACGGAGTTGTTGGGCTCGTAACCTCTTAAAGGTAAAATGGAAAGTGAATGAATTAAGTCTGGTTATCAAGCTATGTTCTAGTGAATTCCAGACTATCTGGTCCGTGCATGGTCGCGGTTGACGAAACGTGAGAAATGTAAGAGAAAGTGCAGAATAGAAATGACGAAAGGGAGCGGATGATTCTGATTGGCTACTGAAATATTTCGCCATAGAATTGCATCTCAACACCTGCCGGTTTGACTTCGCTTCACAGACAGAAGCCGACTGTGTGTTCAAGTTCCGGTTCGGGATGAGCGAAATACCCGAGCTTGTCAACCTGCTCTGCATCCCCGACCCAATAATTACCCCGAATAGACACCGAGCAACTGCTCTTGAGTACCAGACGCGCGCAAAGACTTCACTGTGTCCTTCTTGAATGCTGCCATCAAATCATCCAGGCGCTTACGACATCCTGCAGTAGTAAGGTCGGGGCCGTGCATTTCGCGCATGTGCTCTACAACTTCTTCCCATCGTGCAAGGGTTTGTCCATAAGGAGCATCATGTGGGCATACAGCCATGACCTACTTAAGGATGTCTATGTCTACTTGAGTGGTAAAGCGGTACGCAGTCGCAGTCTTTCGCTTGCCTCCGTCGACGTCACTCATCGGATGACTGGTCAACAAAATGAATGTATTCTATTCACTGCCGTATGTGGATTTCTTTAACCTGTGAGGTTGGCGAGATAATTCTACTTTGTAGGCAGAACTGGCTCTTTTCTTCTTCTCTATAGGCACAGCGTCATAAATTCGATTTAACATTTGATGCACAGATTGCGAATTTAGACGAGGCGTCGCCCAGCTTCCGACCAAATACTGCGTATTATAGTATACTACTCTGATTGGGAACTATTGCAGACAAGTCGAAAAATTCATCTTCCTCTTTTCCGATTGGTCTAAAATTGAGTGACTAAACCAAACTCGTTGCGGACTAACACGAG